GCATTCCCAGTAGTTATCTAACTATTCAGCTTCCCTTTACATATATCTGGAGAAGGGAGCTGACTGGGAGTTGATTTCATTGTCAAACTATTTAAACAAAGTTTTTATCTAATACCCAAAGGAATCTGTTTTTGTATAACTTCAGTCCATTATTTGTATCCTGCTCTCTGGAATAGGGTTCACATCCTTTTGTGTGATGCATGAACAGCTTTATTATATTTCCACCCCTCCACATACATTCAGCTTCTCTTCTTAAAGCTATACATAACATGTTTTTTCAATCTCTCCTCACAGGAACTGTTCTCCTATTCCCGACTGCTCTTCTTTGGATTTGTTACATTTGTCTGAATTCTTCTTAAACTATGCTTTACAGAACTGGATACCCTAATACCCAAGGTGAGGTCTAACCAACATAGAACAGAATAAAGCTATTACTTTTTTTTTCAGTTGGATCATGCTCCTGTTGATAAACCCTAATATTTCATTTTTGAAAGATTCTTTATTTATAATTTCCATTTCTATGGTCACTCACTCATATATGACTCAGCCAAGTCACACTGCTGAGACATGTTCAGCTTGTGATGAACGATTTCAAGATTCCAAAGGAAGAGAATTTCAAGATTTAGTTTCACATGTTCAGATAGTCCTCGGTTAATGACTGCCCTGTTTAGTGACTGTTTGAATTTACGACAGTGCTGAAATAATAGCTTTATGATTGGTCCTTGAACTTACAGCCATCACAGCGTCCCCATGATCGTGTGATCACCATTTGGGTGCTTCACAACCAGTGTGTATTTATGATGGTCACAGCATCTGGTGGTTGATCAACACTTGCAAGTTTCACGTCCAGCTTCTGACAAGCAAAGTCAATGGAGATCTTGGCAGTAAGTTGCAAGTAATATTCACATGATGTCATGCTTAACGACCATAGGTGATTTGCTTAATGACTGCAGCAGAACTGATGTAGTAAGTCTGGTGTGGTCACATGATTCTTTGCTTAGTGATGGAGTTCCCAGTCCCAATTATGGTTGTTAGCTGAGGACTACCTGTATTATTATCAAGCCACATACTCGCAGTCTATATCTGTACAATAGATATTTTTTTCCTAAATGAAGAATTTTTTGCACTTGTTACATTTCATTCTGTAATTTACAGCTGCTTCTTTATCTTGCCAAAATAATTTTGAATTTTGATGTTATATTCTTCATTAACTATCACTTGGTTGTATAATCTGCAAGTTTAGTAAGTATACCCTTCGCATTTTTATCTAAATCACAAATTTACGACCAATTGCCAAGCACCCTGTGATCATGTGATTGCCACTGCAATCTTCCCTATTGGCTTCCCCAGTGGAAGCCAGCAGGGAAGGTTGCAAGCAGAGGGGATGCAGCAGTGTACAGGAATGGAGCTCAAATCCTGAAAATCTGAGCTCCATTCCTCCAGCCCCACCAAGGATTTCCCCTCCGTTCCTCCAGCTCCAGGAAGGATTTCCCCTCTGTTCAGAGAGAGGAAGGCAAACCCTTCAGCAGCTTTAGGAATGTTTGAGAGTGAAAGGGCTGCCTGCTGGAAGGATTTCAACTCTATGCAGAGCTGAAACCGTCTGGCAGGCAGCCCTTTCGTTGTCAAAGAGCTGCCTGCTGGGAGGATTTCAGCTCTGTGCTGAGTTAAAATCCTTCAGCAGACAGAGCTTTAGCTTTAGCTCTGTCCGCTTAACAACCCGGGAGATTGCTTAACGACTGCAACCGGGAGTTCCCGGGTTGCAGCTGCGGAGCAAAGCAGTTACATGGGCATCTCACTTAACAGCCACTTCGCTCAACAACCGAGATTCTAGTCCCAATTGTGGTCATTAGGTCATTAGGACTACCTGCATTAGGGAAGGCATTTAGTTGCAAAAATCAAGCATAGTATTAATTCATCATCACAGCCTGCAGGCAGCTTTCAGATGTAGGAAAAATGGTATATGTGAAGCCAGCTTTCCCTTATAAGAATTTCTTAGATATTGTAAACAACAATAAAAAAGTGCACATATGATGAACTGAAAACATGAGGGGATGAGGGCACTTGCAATTTATTTTTGTTTGGAGTAAGAGGATTCTTCTTGTCCCAAGATCCGTGATTGCTCAGTGATCAAATAATGTTTCTGTGCTCTTCTATTGGTCAGCCGAAGGATGAGCACAGGATTGTCTCCTGTGAGTTCTCATCTTCTGGAGGCTAGCATAAATAAGGACAATATTATGTTGGCTTCAAACATATCTGTGATTAAGGAGTAGAAACAGTATGTTATGGAAGTGTCCTTTTATCATTTTAGCATCTTTGTTGAGCAATGCTTTACAATATTTTTTCTCTTCCCTTTTTATTCTGAATGTATGTATATGTGTGTATATGTGCGTACACACAAACAACTTTTTTTTTAACTACTGTTCACCAATCTTGACTCATCCTGAGTTTTAGCCCTCCCGATGCTCCCTATGTAATTCAAGGCTTTAGGCATTCTTCCTTAATGACCTGCTCCTCATTTTATCTCATATATGTGAAGGGAAAACATGAACTCTCCTGTATTCTCAGCAGCGTTATAGCAAGGAACCCTAACCTGACAACTAAAAGCCAGGTCCAGTAGGTTTCTTTGTTATCATACAGAAATGGCTTGCCATTGCCTCCTTCTGGGATTTCCAAGTTTAAACTTCAGTGCTTGGTTTTCCTGGTGGTTTTCTCTCCAGGTATTAACTAGGTCCAAGTCTGCTTAATTATTTGAAATCAGCCAAGGCTGACTAGAGGCTGCCATCTGCTAAGGGTTAAGAGTTTAGATTTCAGATAACAGATTTTGTCCAGGTTATAAAATAAAAATCTACAGAATAATTTAGAAATACATTTTAGAGTTTGATTTTTTAAAAAATAAAAGTAAATAAGAATGAAGCAGTTATTTTAAATGAGCTCACACTTTCCTTGCACACTGACAGAAAATAAAGGATTCCTTAAGAGTCACATTTGCAAATACTTTTAGAATGGTAATACATTTCTGTGCAGATCTCTGTTTTTAATTTTACACAAATAAGCATACCTCGTTTTGCATATGTAAATACAGTTTCATCAGATGCAGTAATTTCATCTATACCTCTTGTTCTTCTAAAGAATCGGCTATCTTGCACTATCCCTGTGCAGTTGGAATCACTTAAGCAGTCTACTACAGCGGTGGAAAGAGATGTATAAAACATTGGCTCTAATGGTCCTGACATAAACTTATCAGTGTAGAGATCAAAAAGATCTACCACTAATGGGAAAAGAAAAAAAAAAGTAATTGAGTGGCTTTCCAAATATCTTGCATTTATAATAGCTATATCATTTTACTTTTGTTTGCTTTTTCAAATAGCGTATAATTTTAACTAGAAAAGCCTACATTAGGAAAATAAATCATGTGTTCAAAGCATTTTGACATAATTAATTTGTAGCCATATGTTTGTTGTAAATTAAAACTAAACATTTTATTTAAATTGATTAACAATGTGTTTCATTAATGTATATCCTGTCCCATATTGCTGTCCTACTGCAACAGTCCTGGGTAGTTTCCTAAAATAATATAATCAAAAAGTCCACTAGAGACATAAAACTCTAAAAATCTAAAAGACATAAAACTCTAAAAAGGTATGTTTTAATTCCTTATGCACTGTAATAAGAAGGGCCTGTCAACAGTTTGCTCTAAAACACAGCACTTATTGTTAATAAATAAATACATACATAAATGAATAAACAAGTTGTATATTAAACCAATTCCCAGGGGTACCTGCTAAAGATATCCTATTGATGATCTAAAAGTGCAAGATAAACAGTACAACAGGTGATCTTGTTTAAGCTATGCAAGCTTTTCACACTATAGTTAACATTTTGAATTTTAAGAGATTTGCACAGCTTCTTCTCTTTTTAAATGAGAAGAAGCCATCCTCTTAGATGAGATATTTTTACCAGTAATGTAGCAATTGGAACATCAGAAAATTTGGAAAATACTTGAAAATATCTGTGGTACCTCCCATACCTCTTATATCTGTTACCAAGAGGGAACTGGAACATAATCCAGTAAGGGTAAAGAATCTTGTCTAGTGAGGGACTGAAACATCATGTCTGCTAGCAGAAACAATAAAAACACTCACAAAATTAAAACTAAAAGAAATAATACAAACAAATTGGTTGTTTTTTACAGAGCTTTTTTTTACAGCTTTTACAGAGCTTTCTTTAATTCTATAATGTTTGTATACTTTTGAAGGAAAAGCTCCAAAAACAGTGATATTCTCATACACACACACACACACACACACTGCTTCATGAGCACAGGGAAGGATACACGAATACCCTTGTACCTCATCATGCATAAAGAACATAATTAGAAGACAGAAAGAAAGATAATCTAGTTATAACTAAAATCATGCACAATATAAATGAAAAATTGTAAGTTGAATATATCTTTGTGATATTCAAGCTCCAATATTCTGCTTACCTTCCTTTCTCTTACAAACCCACTTATAATTTTCATCACACTTTATCTTTAGAATAGTGTTATTAGTAGGATTAAAACCTACACATCTTCCAGATGGATTCCCTTCCAATTTCAACCTGGATAAAAAAGAAAAACTGATGAAAACATGTCAATGCCTATTTTTGATTATTGGTTTCTGAGGAACTTATAGTCACAAAATAATAAACTTTAAAAATAAATATCAACAAGAGAATTAAAAAAATGGAAAACCATCAGAATAGAGCAAATAAAAACATTAGTATAATGCTCTAGCATTATAATACCGATGTTCACATAGGTTTTGCAATACTAAATCTTCAGCATCCACAGCAGGCATTTTTATGCAAATAAAAACTTCAGCATTAGAATATTGAGCACACATATAAATGCAAACATTCCTTTGGATAGAAGAAAAATGCCTGAACTATATTTATAAATGTTATTTCTCTTGTTGGTCCCAAATCCCATCTTGGCACTTCATATAAAGCCCTACACACCTCATGTCTATTTTGTCATCTTAGTTTCTTTAACCTAAATGATGAGAAGCTTTATACACCTTATGACTCTCTCTCATATGTGGTTCTAAGAATAGGGTAGTGATTCTCCCCCTTCCATTGGCTGTGAGTGCAACTTATGATATACATTTATGATTAATGATTTATTTATTTATGATATATGGTTTTATTTATATTTGTGTTTGTTTTTAACTGTTGTTTAATTGGTTGTTTATTGTACACTGCCCAGAGTTATATTTGAGAGATGGGCGGCTGTGTATATCTGATACTTAAATAAGTAAATATCAATCAAATGTTTCTATACCCTCTTGGCAATTACTAAAACTGGGTGTGAGTTAGCCCTACAACAAAATGTTTCATGGCTTATTCTGTGTCAACCTTTTTTTCCATTCTAAAACTGGCTTAATGATTAACTATATGTCTTTAATAAAGGAGGATGTGGTATAAAATCTCTCTCCCATTCACTGTTGTTCAATTATCTCAAAATAAGAAATTCAGCCCATATAAATACTTAGAAGTGATGGATTATCTAAAGCTATTGAACTAGAATATTTCTGGACAATCTGAAAATAAGAAACAGTCACAACAACACTGATCTTTTAGCTCTATGGATTTCATGAAGTTTAATGAAAATAAAGATTGGTACACTTTTTAGACAAACTACTAGGAAAAACAGAAGAAAAATAGTGTGGGTTAAACATTAACTAAGAATTTAAAGTATTTTGTTTTTTGCTGATACTTCTCTTGGAAACATAATCCCTAAATGTCAGGTTGCTTAACTACAGATCGGGTTTTTCTAGCAGTCATTATGCAATCACATTTATATGATTTGCACAATGTATCATATTTCAGTTGGGCTCTTATTGGTGGAAGGAGCTTCCAACTCTATTCCACTAGGCACTCAAGGAAGTCTTCCTGTTATTACCACAATTCCTTGAGCTGATGAAGGCAATCCTTCATGATAATGATATTATCTGTGTGGTGACAGAACATGGATAACATACTGTAAATGCACAGATCACAATTAAAAACAATAAAGATATGCAATCTATCTTTCCTTATTTGTGAATATCACACATTGGTCATACTTATTTGGATGGAGCAAGCAATCAGTCAAGAGTCAAAAATAGTAGTGCCTGGCCAAAAGTTGCATCTGGAATACTATTTGTAATGTTTAAGAAATGTGGAATGTTGTGATGAGATAGCACATTAGCAATTGTCTATCAATAGTAACCCTCTGAGAAGGCACAAGAAATTGTTATAGCCTTCATGGAATAAGACACCCTTGTGAAGAAAATTTCATAAATTGATATGCAAAGTGAATAGTATCTGCCACCTCTGAACAGGCACTGTGAAGAAAATTAGAGTCTTTGGTTAGGAGAAGAGTGGTAGTTGAGTTGACTAATGATCCAAGGGGGGGAAATGGTCACAGTAAAAGGCCAAGATCTGCTAAATGTCAAGAGAATGCAGAGTTGTTTCCAACAATTTTGAAGATTATTAGAAGATAGCCAACCTAATTTCTTGATTTGTATAAAAGTGAGACATTATATAGGCAAAAATGAGATGTCAGTCATGAGATAAGTAATATGCAAAAATTCTATTTTGAATGTTCTGACCTTGGAACAAAACATGGCTATTGCAAGTATTCTGAACCCTGTAAGCTGGCTGCTGTTTTCTGGCTCTTCTGGCACTGGATTTAAGAATACGAACTTGAGGTAGACTCTAGATCTGCTTTTTTGTAACCCAAGGCACAAAAGCAGGTGGGGTGAAAGTCTACGGTGGTTGTATTTGGGCACACAATTTACAGAAAGATTGGTCTAAAGGATGATTTTTTAAAAATGGGGGGGGGGAATCCTCACAGAAAAGCATAAGAAAGGTAAATAGCAGCAACTATAATAATTAATTTAGAATCTGTTAACAGAACTTGCCTTCCCTTTCAACAGAGAAAAATGGGCTCTTTTTAAAAAATTTAAATAAACCAAAATAGAGGCTAGAAAACAAACTAGAAAATAAAATATATTTTAAAATGCATTTTGAAAGATCACAGTCAACAAAAGATAAAAGCATATAGAGACCACTCCTACTCCAAAACTCAACAATTCATCTTACCACTCTGGGTCTTTAGTATGAGTCATCTCTTATGCTAGGACTGTTAAATTCTTGTCTGAATCCTCTGACCCAGAGGCTGAAGAGGCAGACCAGCTGGGCCATCAACCTGTACAGCCAGCAAGCAATGAGGCACCTCTGATAGCTTCAAGCACAAGCATGCGAGAACCATTTCAGATGTGGGAGCAGATTCTAGCAGGGGGCATTAATCCAAGAACATACCAGCAGCTATGAAGGATTGAATAAAGGCAATCAGCACATCTCCTTGAGAGGACAGTAACATGCCTAATCAAGCCACATAAGTCCCTTGGGCTCTGTCAAAGCAGCTCCTAGCCCTTGTCCTCTGATGGAAACAAATAATGCGTTCCTGTTGTTCTTGCTCCTTGCTCTTTATCTGGCTCCTAGAACAGACTGGAACACCTTGTGGAATGCTCAGGAGCATGAATTCTGGACTCTTGCAGCTTTGCCTCTGCCTTTCTCTTGCTAGCAGATCATTACAACTCAGACCATAAACTTATAAGGCAAGGTACAGACTCTTTTAACTTCTTCAGCCTTAAGTGCTGTCTGGTTAATTACTCACCCAATTCCTGCTTATTATTGGAAATTTTATGACTCCACAATAAAGCCTTTCAAAATTGTATGTGCCTGGCTTTCTGTTTTGCATCAGTTGGCACAGGACAGATTACTGCCCTAGCAGCTCTTTTGCACAGGATATCAGCATCAAGGGTGATGACAATAAACTAAATGCTTTCTGTTGGCAGGTGGCAAAATCCTTGTAAATTTAAACCAAGGCATTGTTTCTAAAAAATAAAAAAGTACTGGAGATATAAAAACAGCCAATCCTGTGATACAGGCAAATGTCTGTGTAAGGCAGGAACACATTTTAGTTGAACTGAGGACTGAATCTGTTTTTAACAGCATATCAGGGGCTCCGTACAAATGAGACAAGGCCACATTTTTTTTAAAGTGGATGGGGTGAATATTGAATGAAAAAAATTCAATTATTTTTTAACATACATACACAAATACATGCAACATGCACACAGATAAATTTATTCTTTAGGTACTGATTACTTTGGTATGGAGATAGGGACTGGCAACGGGATAGATAGTTCCTCTGCACTTGAGAAGGAAGTTCAAGTTGCTGACTATGGTGATATCTTATTCAGTCAACAGACCTGCGTCATTATTTTTCTACAAGAAGTTCAATACCAGTGAACGTCTGATGTACAAGGAACAAAATGATGAGAAGTTTCTATTAATGGAGATCTTGACAAAAATTGTAAAATAACCAGACTGACACAATGTCTGGGAGGGGAGGGGGAGTACACAATTCACCATGCTCCATGAATGACTTCTTTCAAGGGTCCTAAAATCAGGGATTCCCACTCTAACAGATGTTATATAGAGTTCTATTGAAACTAGGCTATGAGAACTGCTTCGCTGGGAATATTCAATATAGTTGCCAAGGGGCATTTTTTCCCCAAATGTAGTTGAAGCATGTGAGGTACAAAGCATGGCTTGTTTTGTAAAAGTCTGGCAATGAGTTTTATAATAGATAAAGGTATGGAATGTCCATCAGAGAAAATATTTACTCCCACGATTTACACATATCCGAAATGGTTCCTTTAATGTCTTAAGAATCCAAAACAAATAAAACCCCAATAAAGGCACTCTTTGTAAGGCATTCAGAAGAATTTCAATCTATGGGACTATCAAATCAAATCAAAATATATAGAATAGTAAGATTCAGAGGAAGAAAACAGTTTTTTAAAAAAAAAAGTCAGATAATTCTGTCAGTATTATTTTTCCAGTGATAGAAAATGAACTGAGTTAAAAGTATTTTAATTATTTATGGATTTTAGCTACTGTTGGAGGGATTAGTGTGTTTTTCCTTTTTTGTTATTGTGAGCCGCCCAGAGTCACCCGTTGGGGGAGATGGGCGGCAT